AACGGCTGTGGAACTACTTCATTAAAGGTAATTTAGATCATCACCGTACGACACCGATCCACCTGTAGGTATCCGAAAGACAGATAGTATATAGCAGGGTTTCCCAGTCTTTACTTGGTTACTTCTACACATTGAAGTTCGCTGGCTCTCAAGAGGCTCCTGTTTAACATGATTTTTAACATAGTTAATTTGGAGCTGCAGGGTGATATTATTCACTTGATTAAAACAAAGTCAATAATAATGGTAAGTAATTTGTATCAATAAGAAAAAACTAGAGAAAGGATTTGCAAAGTAATTTGGCTATGGGTATTTAAGGTGTCAGTTTATTTTGAGAAAAAGGTCTCATGCCCAAAATAGTCTATAGGGAATCCTTGATCTACGGAATGGTCAACGGTAGAGAGGAAAAAGACACGGAGGAAAAGTTTACCCTAATTAGGTAGCAGAACGATTGTAGAATACCACAGATAAACTTCAGTGGACAAATGGCATATTTAGAGATATGGTGAGTTTGTATAAATGCCAGCATATACACCTGATACAATTCTTAACATGACACGGCTATTTCTTCATTTTGTATACGAAAAAAATTGACAAAAGCGCCACAGATCTGTGCATGTAATCCGGCACATATGATCTTTCACTGCAACCGCCAGGTGATAGTAAGGCAAAGGGTGTGGTGTACTATAGGTGCGGTCTTAAATGAGAACAGCCTAAGGGATGCTATGATTTTGGAGAAGGACACATGAGAGGCTATACTACACAAGAACGAGGAAAAGGAAATAATAAGACAAGCAAAATAATAAAGGACATAAACAACTGAGAAAATTTTTAAGACCATGTAGTATTCTGAAGAATGTCCCAAAAAGACAATGCCGGGATGCTGAAGTTAAAAAGAAGTGATTTTAGTGAACCAGCCAGCAATAGGCGCTTTTAAACCAAGTACCTGGGGTCCACAAGGATTGCTCTTCTACACTTTAAGGTTATGACCATGTGAATGATAATAGGAAATAAGTTGGTCAACTTGTTACAAAGCACACGTTAATTTAATGTTAATTATGCAAAATTAAGAGCTGTTTAAGTTTAATGTTCTATTGTATTATAAATATAATAATTAATAAACTAAATTATTAAAATAAACATGTGTTCTTTTTTCGCAATAACTTTTTTTGGCTTTTCCTTTCTATTTCCTTTTTTCATTCTCCATATCTTCCTTCTTTCCCTTTTTTAACTAAACAATTAAATTGTATAGCTCTTCAGCAATGTTGTTTCTTTCTCTTACCTTCTTCCATCTTTGAGTTCTATAACTATCCAGATTTTCTTCTATTTTCCACTTTATCATAGTTATTATTCGGTTGAAGTAACTAGTTTATGAAAGACAAATAGTTTTTTCGTGAGTTAAATTAGGAATCACCACATTATAAGAATGTTGTCTTCTGTATTCTAAAGAACAGCTGGTGGGTGAGTTTCTTTTTATTTAAATAACTGACTTTAATTTGTTAAAATCTGAAATATTTAAATCTACACAGATAATAAATCAAAATGGAGTTTTACAAGGATCAATTTAAGCCCTTTATAATTTATTTTGTCTTGCCTGGATAATCTAAAAGTTCTATGGTGTATAAATTTAGGAGGATACACAATGAACACAATAGGGCCTAAGTACTGTGGAACAACCCATCCTTCACACGTTATAGGTACAGGTACAAATAATTTTTAACAACTCTCTACTTTTTTTGCAATAGTAATCTGTATCTCTGTAACGTGTGGAGAGTGGTTACCCCTACGGCACTTAGGCTTCATTAGGCCCATTGTGCATCCTCCTAAGATGATAGGTACCTCCTAGCTCGTGAGCCAGCCTACAGATTTGATGGCTCTGGTGTTGTTTTCATGGCTCCTGTTATGTTGAGACATGCTGTTCTTTGAATTAGTTCTAGTTTACGGATAGCTGTTAATTTTTGAGTTTTCGGTATCCAGACAACTGCACCGTATGTTAGCATAGGTCTTATGATAGCCGTGTAAGTCCATGCGTCGACTCTGGGGGAGAAACCCCAGGTACGTATTGTTCATAAGCCATGTATGCTCTTTTAACTCTGTTTTCTTAATGCAAGATCCATGTTAACTTGCTGTCAAAGGCGAGACCTAAGTACTTTACCCCTTTTGCAAAGTTTTAGAAGTTTTGGAGGTTTTAAATCCATTTTCGTCCTTTTCTTAATCTTATACAACACTAGTAATTAAATACTATTTGTCTTATCTATTTCTTTAAATATGTACTATTAGTTTGACTTCTGTTTACTTGACTTGTCTTATGTCTTTAGATATCACAGATTGTAAACTTTTGTAGATTAAATGTAATGTTTATTTATTGGCCATAGCCAGTACAGGTTGATCTGTATCAACCTTGTGGAAGGGATCCCTTTTCCATGAAATCACAAGCTAACGCTAGTATTTGCGACTCCGAGGAATGTTGACTGCTTGAAATTGAAGTAAATGTAGTGAAAGCAATGATGTATCGTGGAAAGCGATATGAGCAACTTGTTGAGTATAGTGTATAGGAGGAGTGTGTCTAACTAACCGGAAGTACATCTGTACTTGAAATTTGTGAAAACATATTTTGTAATTCTATCAAAAAGGAGCAAGAGAGAGAGAGAGATATGTTACGTTCCAAGATACACAGTATATACAGAAATATTTTGAATGTTTGGCGTACGTAACTTCATGACTGCAAAAAATATATTTTGTTTGTACGATACTATTTATAAGAAATAAAGCTAGAAGGTATTTAAAGTGTGTAAATATTGAGTTTTATTTAATAAAACTCCTTAAAATAACTCGTCTGAGCTTTCGGCCTCTTAAGCCATCATCAAAGACTCTATAAGAGAAAAACGGAGCTGTTACAATACAATAAACTCTATCATTCTTAAAAAATAGAATAAAAAATGTTGTACACTTACTCGTCAAAAAAACTTTAGAAGAAACATAAAAAAATTAAACTAAATAAATAAGGGACAGCAACTGACCAGTCCCAAGTCTCCACCATAGCTTGCAGCTTAAATAATTAAAAATTCAAACCGAAATGCGGTAACTGAAACAGTGTGAAATGTGGGGCCAGCTGGTTAGTTTTTAACAAAGAAACTGGAGGTTCATCCGACCATGTAGACCTAAACCATGCTGATACGGAGAACAAGGAACAGCCTATCTTCCACTTGAAGGGAGCAGGGGTTAGCCAATTAATTTCGTGAGGCGAAGGCACGTTGGAGTACAAAAAATACGAACAGGGTTTTTTTAATAAACCAGCGACCATCTTTGCAATGTGCCAAAGCAGCATGAGTGACAATTGACATTTGACAATGAAATTGTCAAGAAAAATGCCAACTAAAGAAATAGAAATGAGTTTTGTGAAAAATTGTCAAAAGGTTGATATTAAAAATAATAAAAGTGAGTTGGTACCACTGAGCAAGCAAAGTCAAATTATGGCGGGACTTTTAAATTATAAAACAACAAATGATTACAATGAAATAAATAGAATTGTAGGTTATACAGTAAATGAAGGTAGAAAAACATGTTTTTTTTTAAATTTAAAAATTAACAAGGTGCCAAGCTGAAAACAACAGAATTGAACAGGCCAGCTCCAGCGAAACCGAAGTCGCCAGCTTTTCCAGATAAAAGTGGAGGAAAAACCGCTCTGGCCACGAAATCAGCAATCGCCGAAAAGACATAATCAACTCCACTGCAAAGAAGATTAAAGGCGAAGCTGCCAAGATAACTTCAGACCAACTGTTGCCAATACTCTTAAAGAGAGGAGGAACTTTGCTATTGAGATGGATTTGAGTGTAAACACATATGACATTTGGTTTATTAACTTTTTGTGTATCTCAAGGTCTTCAAGAAGATTTAGTTTAAAGTTCAATTAAAAATATTATGAAGAACAGTAACATTCTCAGAAGGAGTGAAGTTATGATTGTTGAATTTAATATGACGTCCAAAAGTGGACTTATCTGGATATCTAATGTGTTTACCAGCTCGTATGTTGAGTCTCCTCTTAGTTTTTCTATATAGGACGTATTACAATCGTTACAGCTTAATCTATAGATACCACTTTTGTGTAGCAACTGGATTTTAACCTTAGTATGTGATAGTTGGCTTTTAATCGAATTAACATTTTTAAAAGAAATTTTAATATTGTTGCAATCCTTAAAAACTGCAGCAAAATCATTAAAATTTTTCCCAAGACATGGTAGTAAAAAGTATTTAAAATTAGCAGGAGGTTCATTAGTAGAATTAAAAGCAAGTTGGGACCCTTTTTTAAGTTTGACTTTATTGATAACCACATTAATAATGGAAGGGTTGTTGTTATTATTAAAAGCTAATTGTTTTAAAACGTTGATTTCTTTATTTAAATTGTGATTAGTTAAAGGTACATTAAGAAGACGATGAACATAACAGTATATGGCTGATAACTTGTGTTGATAAGAATGATTAGAGTGGAAATTAATTAGATGGTCAGTTTGAGTTGGTTTCCTGTAGATATTAAATTCAAGTTTATTATCCCGACGACTGATAGAAAGGTCTAGGAAATTAAGTGATTTATTAACTTCAAGCTCAATTGTGAATTTGATTTTAGGATGGATATTGTTAATGAAAATTAAAAAGTCATCAATCTCAGTAAAATTACAATTAATAATTGCAAAAATGTCATATTATTTATGTTTATATCTATGTGATCTCATTTTTTCTGCTTATAGATTTGAATTACGTACATCAGTTTTTTTAATTTCTGATGCAGAATATTTTATTACAGACAATCAAACATTCGTTTGTATTTTTAAATAGAAAATAATCCATTCAATATCTTCTTATTAAACATTAAATATAATTATTTACTTTACAATAGATCAAAATTTAAACCACCTCGAGACGGTCCTGCTAAATGTTCCATTGCTGAAAAATATAAATGAAGTGTTAGTTTTTTTATAATCATTTAGTTGACATTTGCTGAAAAACCAACGCCATGATTTTTAAATTAATTACAATTGCATTCGCTTTGTTGTTAGTTTGTTGTGTGGCAGAAGATTTATCATCTTGTGATGATTCTTTAGAATGCGTGGAAAAGCAGTTAAAGGTTACTGTCGACGAATTAGATACAGATAGTATTGGTGATTGGATAAGTGTAAAGAAAATCGGAAGGACTAGCAGGAAAATTGAAGGCGATGAAGATTTTATTGAGAGATGTGTGAGGTTTTTAAGGGAACATGAATTGAAGATTCGAGTTCCAGAAAGTACGGATAGGAGTTTGGAAACAGGTAAAGTAGAGTTTATAATTAATAATTAAAATTTTTATTTCCAATTTTCCAATTAAATTACACTTTTCCAGATACACATATATATAAAATGAACGGAAATAAATATAAGATCCATAGAAGCCTATATGGCTAGTGTATGGTTTCTCTAAAATATTTCTGTTTTTTATATTGATGTCAACACATTTTTTTGTCTATTTTATTTTGTATTGAGTAAGCTAAATTTTTATTTTAAATATTTTCAACATTTTATTGTAAATTAAAAATTCAAATCAATCATTATTAATACATTATAAATTAAAAACTTCAAAGTAAACATTTTAAATTAAACGCTTTAAATTAAATAATTCTAATTAAACACACTTAATAAAATATCTATATTTAAACACTTTGAAGTAAATATTTCAAATTGAATACCTTAAATCAAATACTTTAAGTTAAATACCTTAATTTAAATATTCTAAATCAAAGACTCTAAATTACATATTTTAAATTAAATATTTTAAATTAAATATTTTAAATTAAATATTTTAAATTAAATATTTTAAAATAAATATTTTAAATTAAATATAATAAAATACAATATAATATTTGAATAATTATTCTTTCTCTCGTCTTACCTAGTTACTAAGAAAATATACAGGGTGCTTTAGTAAAAATCACTTTTGATATAATTTTGGTCAAATGTTGACATTGAGTTACTGAGTAAGTTTAATTTTGTCAATTTTCAGGAGAACCTATCGAAATAATCAAACTTAATTGAGCAATATAATGTACAATTTTATATAATGAACATAATTAATGACTAAAAATTGTTTTTTTTTGTCCTTTCACCTTTCGAATAAAAAAATCAGCTAAAAGACTAGTGATAAGATTTGCTAAAATTCATAAATAATAAAAATAGATGACACTTTTGTAGCATTTTTCAATAGGTTCTCTTTACATGCAATTTTTAATTAAAAATTTCACACCTCTACTTTTCGATCAATAAGATGCCTTAATTTTGACTAGTTACCATGGCAGAAAATTTTTTCGAGGCGCCAAGTTATTTAAGGGGAAATTTTTTGACCTCTCTTTTATATAATACAAAAGTGCTTTTTATAAGAACATTACTATCTGTCTTGCTGTACCTTTATTTATGGAAAGCCTGAATTGAGATACACTACAAAATATTTGCAATAAATATCAAAAGAAGCATACATGTTTAAATAATTTGACATTTAAGGGCCATTCACACATCACAGTTGACATCTTCATACTTGACAGACACAGCCAAGCATTATTCTGATTTTTGCCAAATAAAATGGCCGGTTAATTATTCTATGGGGTTGCGACAGAGAGCCAGTAAATTTGATGAAGGTGTTTTTGTGGCTAGGGGCGAAATAGTAGTACGCTTAAGTTAGCACCACCATAAAAAAGTCATTTTTAAGTAAATGCTTATACATATTTTTCATAAATTGGCAGGCTTGGCGACTAATTTTGAATCAAAATAGCCTCCAAAATGGCTATGGTTGCAAGTACAAAGGTCGCAATCCGTCTTAGAAATTTCACCTTTACTATCAACAGATGTTGTTTAACAGGTCGTTAGAGAATGTTTGCAATTTATGAAATGTTAAGAATGTTAGGAATGTTGACGTTATAAATAATTGGAATTCCTAACATTGTCATATAAGAAATGCATATGCGGATTTTAAGAAAATTGATATTAAAGTAGTTAGATGTAATTATTCAAGAAAATCAAAACTACAAGTCAATCAGAACTTTCGTTCTAGAGTTATCGTGCCGGCATACATACACACAACTAAAAATTTTTTTTTGCATTTTTTTGTCTGCACGAATGCAATACTGAGGCTCCATAGGAAGGGGCCTCAGTAATTCAAACCTAGGAATTTGACGCAATCTTTATAGTAATCTCCATAACTAAATTAGGAGGATTTGTATTGTAAATATTAGGTATTTTAGAATAGAGACATTCTATATTTTCAGCATTAACCATTAGACTGTAATTACAGTATTGTAAAAGCTCCTCAGAAGTGAATTTGTGCTGATAACACCAGTTTCGTATCGTTATAAAATTAGATGACCATATTTGCATATATAGAGGCAAGTTGTTAATAAAACGCAAAAATAATTGCAATTTCACAACAGATCACTGAGGAACTTGCAAATTAAATGGATAGCTGTTACAGCAGCTGTCCTTCATTTTGACAAATATTATTTAGTCATTAATAAATGTAGGAAGTCTTTCGCAGGAAACTCCTCTAAGTCTCAGATTATAGTGTTTGTCTTAAACAAATTTACATTTTGGACCAAGTACATTTTGATCCCGAAAATCCTGGAAACAAAAACCTTACAGGCGAAACTCGTCTGGCAAACAGACGGTTTAAAACCAAAGAAGAACAGGGTGCTTGAATCTTTGGATCCAAGCCGAAAACAAAGAGCCTGAGAGAGTACGCAGAAGTATTCGAGGCTGAACTAATTTCCATAAATCACAGTGCATTAGAAATAATAAGCATCAGGCTAAAATTTTACCAATTATTTTGATGGCCAAGCAGCTCTAAGGAATATTGTTTTACCATAAATAAAATCACGACTACCTAGAAGATCTGACAGAACTAATCAAAACAAATTGGCCTTAGCCTTGTTACCAGGCCACTAAAGATATAAAGGTGATAAAAAGGCAATAATCTAGCCCTAAAAAACTGAGATAAGGCAAACACAGGCCCCGAATCCTTCTGTGGAGTTCCTAAGGTATTGTACAAAGCATCCATCATACAATGGATGTCAGGAATGGTGGTCAACAACTATCTAGGATGAAGACAAGCCAAACAGTTAATTCAGTAAACATCGGTCAAGTTCACAAAAGATCTACTGCAAATGTGGCTTAGTTGTATTGCCAGCTGAATAAGTCAAATACAAAATGGACCTTAGCACGCTGCTCTCCAGCTCCAACTGGGTGAAATTCAGTTTGTTCATCATGATATCTTACAAGGAAATGCCTGCTTTTAAGATATGATTTGAGGATTTTAGTAACTAATTTAGTAGTAGAGATTTTCTAAGACAGACTTTATTAAGTAAGCGATATCCATGAAAACCATAGAACAATATTTTTTTTATTCCAGAGTTTGGTGGATGGTCTTTAATACTCGATAAATATGCTCAATAGTAGTCATCTTCCAGTCTGAATCCAAATTGATGATTTGATATTAGTTCTGTTACAACTGGTGTTAATCTTAATATTAGCTTTTCTAGAAATTTTGACAACACAGGGATAATACTGATCAGATTTACCTTCTTTAGGAGGTTTGCTGGATTTTGGAATCAGAATTATTTGCGGTACTTTTTGAGCTACAGGGTGATTTTTACACTACAGGGTGATAACCTGTTCTAAACACTGCATTGCAAATCTGGGTTATGTATTTTATTTCATTTTTTGAAAGTTCTTTAAATATTTTAGTGGTGATGAGAAAATAACTGGGATATTTATTTAGATTTAAGTATGTCTCTTTTAATACTATTTTTTTTTCTATAACGGCTATCGTCCCAGTTATTCATACTTAATTACAATCCCTGATAAAGATAAGAGTACATGTTATTTTAAACATATTTCGTGGGATTGGTAAGTTGCTTCTGACTCACAAAATAAAAGGGCACTTTTAATAAATTAATAAATAAAGATAACCTGCTAAATAAACAATATTATTAATAATCATTTCCACAATAGCCTTTTGACGAATTTTTCAATGATCCTGAAAGTTGTAGCGATCTACGTTCTATAAGTATTCTTCTAAACTTCTCAAAATTTCTTGAAAAAACTATTAGTAAGCAAGTGCACGAGTATATTTTTACAAATTATATTATTGCAACTAATAGTATTATTAAATGTCAGTGACCACCTAATAAAATCCCTTGATAAAGGGCTGACTACAGCATTAACACAATTATACTTTTCAAAAGTATTTGATACTCTTGATCACTACTTATTGTGCGCTAAACTAAACTATTATGATTTTGATGATACTTCCCTGAAATTCTTCAAATTCTACTTAAGTAATCGACATCAAAAAGTAGTTCTAGATAATAGTTCATTAAATTTTTCATGTGTAACCTCTGGAATCCCTTAAGGCTCTGTACTGGGTCCCCTACTTTTTTTAATTTACACTGCCGACATAAATTCAGTTGTAAATTACTTTAAAATTCAAACTTTTGCCGATGACACTCAAATTGATCTAAAAAAACTTCACTAGTATTTCTAAATACATAAACGAAGTGGCCAAGTATTCTAAAGCTCACAATTCAAAACTACATGTTAAAAAGTGCTCTGCAATGTTCTTCTATTCAAAAACTGCCAATGCAAGTTGCTTAAAAAATATTAAACTGATCATTGAAAACCAACCTTTGAAAGTTGTTAATAGCGCCAAAAGTCTTGGCATTATCTTTGATTGCAAGCTACGTTTTGAAGAGCATATTTCATTGTTGGTAAAGAAATTTTATGTAGTTCCTCATCAATTATATAGGAACCGAGGAATTTTCAGTTTTCCCTTGCGGAAACTTCTTTGTGAGAGTTTAATTTTATCGATTTTAAATTTTGGATGGCTTGGTTTTATTTTATCCTTGTTTAGATCAAATCCTATGTATTGTATATTACAATTCAAAATAAAGGTGCTTTATTATTATTATTATTATTATTATTATTATTAATTATTATTATTATTATTATTATTATTATTATTATTATCATTATTACCAAGTCTTTATTATTCTTTTGTTCTTTTTTTTTTAGTTTACATATTAGTTGCCCAGTTACTATTTAATTAGGACTTAAGTTCATAGGATAATACCAAAATAACTAGTTAAGGTCACGGATCAATCATGTAAACCTATCGCTATAAAATATCAAAATTAACAGCTCATTATTATCACTTTCTTAACGATTACAGTTACACACATTTCTCGTATAAATTTATATTAGTATTCCTTCGATAATTTATCTACTACTTCAT